CAACCACAGATCACTACCAGGGAAACAGCAAAGAGGACTCACTAAAGGACACATAGGAAAAAGAAAGAATGCAAGCCCTCATACAGATAGGATGATTGCCAGAGGATCGTGTCACAGGGGGCTTTTCCAGAAGGAAGGAAGAGTTAAGAGTTTCAAATGCTACAAAATCCATGAGGTGGAGCTGAATGAGGGCAGTGATCAGGCCACTGGATCTGGTGGTCAGTGACACACAGGTAGAAACCACATTTTAGTTGTTGGACAAATGAACAGAAAATAAAGAACTCATAGGAAGGAGTGGTAAATTAGACCACTTTCAAAAATCAAAGTGGTGAAGGAAGGAAAGGGCACATATGGTTTGCAAGATAGCTTTTCCCTTGGCTGTGGATGAGTAGAGGGGAGAGGTGGAGGGAAAAGCGGAAGTCACTGGTCCGAGGTCCCAGGGAACACACAGGGACTGCGATTGAAAGCACAAGTGTGAGGATTAACCCCTGTTCCTCCACTGGAAGGAAAGGACAAGTGAGGGGGGATGCAGTTAAGAGGAATGCAAGGGGTTTAGGGGTGCAGGTGTGCAGGTCTATTTTCTACTGCAGATGCTGAAACGGGGGTGTGGGGTGACAGGGCATCTGAGAGGTCAAAGGCTTACACCAGCTCCAGGGATTTATCTCCAGGGCCAGGCACTTGCTTTGAGTTATGCCCCTGAGCTTCCTACTGTTTTACTGAAGTTTCCTCACCCTCAACAGATGAAGCTTCATCTAGACCCATATTTCATCTTTTCCTGACTTCTCATGCTCCCCAGGGCCATCCCAAGCATCTGGAATTTTTGTGCAACTCTTAAGGGTGCACAATTTATAGCTAGCCCACATGGTAGGGAGTATCTGTGAAGCATCCACTTATAGCAACACCCAGAAGCTCTAGACAAGACCCAGGCGGAGATGGGGCCCACTGCTGGGGGCACGCATGCCCATAGACCACCACTGGGAAAGCAGGATGGAGAGTTTCACCAAGCCCCCGCCTGCCTCCTGGGATCCAGGAGCAGCGAGGAAATCAACACCCAGCTTCCACCCAAAGCCCTCCTGAATGATCTGGCCCAGGGCTGCTGGGATGTTCTCCTCTCACAGGGGCAGCTTTATGACAGAGGCACCAGCAAAACCAGAGGGGGCAGGAGAGGGAGGCCGAGCGAGACCACTAGATTCAAAGTCCCTTCATTTCTGTCCTGTGTGAGCTTGAGCAAATGCACTTAAGTGAACACACCTCTGCTTCCTCATCTGTGAAATGTGAACAGTAATAAGAGCAGGGTTGTACAGATGGCACTTAGCTCGGCACCTGGAATGCATTCATGTTGAGCAAACACTCGCTGCTATAATTGTCACTGACATCATCACTAGTTTTTGCAGCCCTGGAGGCAGGGCTTGGATTATTGTAAGTTTCTGGAATCAACCTGCCTTCCTCTGGCTGCAACACACAGGGGCTCTGTTTGGTGTACCATGAAACAAAACCGTATAGTAAGGAAAGCTCTGGATGAGCCCTGTCATCGCAAAGAACAGCTACTCCCTTTACCCTGGGCCTTCATGCTGCTGGGCCGGGCTGTACCTTCAATTTGCAGTGTTGTGGGTTCCATGGGCCGAGCTGTGCATTAACAGAAACCTATATAGTGTTGGCCACAGTGCAGTGGGTTTATTTTGTTCACTAACAATATTAGTTCCCATTTCCCAGCATTTGCTCTGGACAGGTACTTCTAACCCAGTTAGACACCTTGTAGATCCATTTTACTGATAAGGAATTTAAGGCTAAAAGAGGATAAGGAACATCCCAGGCCACATGCCTGTTCACTGCAGAGATGAGCTTGGAACCCATCCCTGCTCCCCATCCAGTCCCCACACTGCTTCTCCTCCCTGGCTGGGCATCCAGGGCCCTCGGGCAGGTGGGCAGAAGAGGAACCAGGCAAGGTAGGAAACCCCAGCCCTCTTCCTTTGAATTCTAGGTGGCATCCATGGAACTTCTCACAGCACTTGTCTGGATTGGTTCAGGAACCAGAGCCATGTAGAATCACAGAATCCTGGATCTGAATCATGCAATCAGGGCTTGAGAACTGCCACAGGGTTGCCCCCCATCCCCCACTGAGTATTCATGTGGGCTCCAAGGAGCTTACTACCTCCCACGACAGTCCCTCCTACCAAAGGGGGAACCGTAGTTAGGACACTTTCCCCTACACTGAGCTTAAAGCGTTCCCCCCTTAACTTCCAGCCCCTAGTGCAAGTTTGGGCTCCTTATGGTGCAACAGAAATGGGAACTATGCTTTCTTTGCGTGAGATCCAGCTCATACCATTGTCCGGAGCAGCGGGTCCCTCGCACACGGCTTCTGAAATCTCTGTAATGGGAGACTCCTCTTTTTGTTGCCTGAAGCCCTTTTCCACACTCTGGATGCAGGTCCCTCAGCCCCGCTCAGTGCTCTGTCCTTCCTTCTGTCCTGCTCCCTTCTCGGCCTTTCACAGGCTCCCTGGGAAATCCCTCGTTTTCCCTTTCTCTTTATCCTCTGGGCACAGAGGTGACCGCAAGTTCAGGCCAGAATGCCTGGGAGCTTCTCTGCCGTCTCAGCCAGCTTCTATTTTGGAGTCTCTGGCCCCTGGTTCCTGGCATTCTTTTCTCTGAATTTTGAGAGGTCTGATCTGGCCCAGCCAGGTTCCTCTTGTCCCAGCAGAGCCCCACAAATCTCTGAATTGGAGTAAGAGGGATCATAAACTCTGCCAGAGATTTCTTTGCCATTTCTTGAAAAGGGGACCTTGCTGGGGTTCCTCCACATTTTGCTCTTGGAACAGGCCCTCCACTCCTCCCACCACCAGCCTGACACCCCCTCTTCCATCCCTCTTAGTGGGGAGCCCCAGTGAAGCAGGGGTACCCTGGGGGATGGAAGAGCACCCCTAAGGCTCAGCCCCTTTAGTTCCCGGTCTCTCCCAACCTAGGCCCAGGGCACAAAAAAAAAGCTTCCTGAGAAAGAGGCAGTAGAGGCAACTCAATTCAGGCACCACCCCCCAAGGCAGGCAAAATGCTCTGAGCTGTAATAAAACCAGTCAGCCGGCCTACCAATTAGGAACAGGTGAGTCCAGTAGCTCCAGAAGGACATCCAGTGCCCAGTGCTTCTCATTATGCCCTTTGTCGCAACCCCTCATCACCAGGCAGCTGCCCATCCCAACACAGGTGTCTCCAAAGGGAAGGAGTGCTGCCCGTCCTCAGGCCCCTGGTGAAAAGTGAGGGATAAATTGGGAGTTTGGGATTTACAGATACACACTACTATATATAAAATAGATAAACATCAAGGTCCTACTGCATAGCATAGGGAACTATACTGAATAACTTGTAATAACCTATAATGGAAAAGAATATGAAAAGGAAGATATATATCTATAAATGAGTCACTATGCTGTACACCAGAAATTAGCACAACATTGTAAACCGAATATACTTCAATAAAAATAAATTAACAAACAAGAAAAGAGGGACACTTTCTCAGCAGTGCATCAGTACCTGCCCTTTCCAAGCTATTTAACCAAAATTGCATTGCACGCTCATTCCCAAAGCAAAGTCCATGGGAGATGGAGGCTGTAACCAGGACCAGTGGGCTGAACAGACCCCGCCGACCAAGGACTCCAGGTCTCCTGAGCTTGGAGGCGTCAGACAGACAACAAAATCAAGCTGCTGTTAGCAAGGAAGAAGCCTGGCATGGTGTGGGGCCGGCCAGAGCTTCCCAAGGGGCTCAGAGGGGCCCGGGAGCCACAGCCTGCTGCCCGCAGCCCCCAGCACCTCCACCTGTGCAAGTCAGTGTGTGACCCAGGCACCCAGCACTGGGGCAGGGGGTGGTGGGTGCACAATGGACAACACCTGTCGAAACTGGGAAGTTCAGAGCTGATAAACACAGTCTGCTAACCCAAGAAATAAACACATATGTCAAATTATACCTTTTTTAAGCTTGATCTTAAAGACCCTATGAGTACAGAGGCCCTTAAACTCACTCAAAGCAGGAAGGGAGTGTGAAAAATTAGTAGTCTTTATGGAATAGTATGAAGTCTTAATCAAAGGAATCAATCAAATTAAAATGATTTAAAAGCCAAGGATATTTACTTATATAAATGTGTATGCATCCTCAACAAAGAAAAAAGCAAAATGGACTATGCCTGAGTTTTCTATTATTAGAATTTGGTTTGGGTTTTTTCCCCTCCTACTTCAGTTGTTTTGTTGTCTACCACATATGGGCAGAAGCATAAAAGATTTCAGAAAAATGTCAGGGAGGAAAACTACAACTTCCTGTAATTCAGTCCCTGACATGAGTTGGTAACTAAAGAATTCATAAAAGCCCACCATTGTCCAATTTGAGAAGACGGGCTTCTTGGAGCAGGTCTCAGAGCATACTTTGAGAGCCACCAATCCAGCCAAACCCTCTCATTTGTTTTCTGCAAAAGTTACTAAGGCTCACACATGTCTTTGGGTTTCCCCAAGGTCACCCAGTTAATTATTGACACAGCAACTCCCCTCCCAATGAATCACAGTCATTTCTCACATCACTTGTCGGCGATGCATGTGGGGGATAAAGATAGGTCCATGTGCAGCTCTGGCCTGAGCTAAGTACGTCTGGTTGGAGTCCAAATCTGCCACAGACTTGAAAGCTTTCTAATCCACCTATACACAGAAGAATAGAAGCTTGGAACTCATTGTGAAAGTTGTTTCTGGGGTGATTTAAAGACACATCCCTCTCCCTGATACACACACAGACACAAACCCACATGCACACCATCACCTGCAGACACTGGCTCCCAGACCCTGAACGCCTGAGGTCCAGGTGTGACTTTCTCTGGGCCCTTCTGCTGCTCAGGAAGGGAGGGCCTGGGCTGGCTCCTTGGCTGGCTCCCTCCTCCCAGCCAGAAATAGTTAATTGCCAGCTCCAGGCTGCCTCCAGCCCAGCCCTAACAGGCCTGATCTCAGGCGGCCGCGCCGGGGCCGCAGCGGCTCCAGACCAGGCCCTGGCTGCGCGGAGCAGTAGGGGCATTCTTCCAAGGTAATAATTAAGCCAAGTGCCTGGCAAGCCAAGGAGGTGAGCCCTATTCACACCTCGGCCAGGCTGAAGTGGCCTGGACTGGTTTGGGAAGGCAGGGCTCCAGAGCACGAGAGCCCGGAGCCGGAGGTCACAGCCTCCCACTGCATACAGGCGACCTGGAGCATCTCGGGCCCGAGCTCCTGCCCTGCTGGGACCCTGCCCTCGCCCCCCGCACCATGAAGCTGCCGGTATTCTGGACTGGGCTGGAATACACCTGCCGGCTCCTGGGCATCACCACCGCTGCAGGTAAGACCCCGCCTCCCAGCTTCCGTCCCCTGTGGACTGGGCAGAGCAGACAGGACTGCCCGAGGCGTGGGAGCCGGCTGGTGAGGGATGGGCAGAAACACCTGGCCACATCTTCTTCAATTCCTTTCTCAACACCCCAGAAACACTGCTCTTCAGAGCAGTGGCCGGTGTAGCGGAGTGTGCCTGGGGCTGGGACCCAGGAGTCTGATGCTGAATTTCAGCTTGGCACCCCTCCATCTATGTGACCTTGGGAACCCTCAGCACCCTTATCTGTGAAATGAGCTGAAGGTCAGCCCCACCTCCTCAGGTGCTGTTGTGAGGTGGAGGTGGGGCTGACGGTGAAGGGGTAAAGGGCTGGGCAGACATGAGAATCGGACGCCTCACTGTACGGTCGTGGAAGTGGTCGGTGGAGCACATCTTGTTTTACTCAAACCACAGCCCAGTTGTGGAGAGAGAATTCCCAGCACACAGGGCAAGCTGAGCTAGGGGGCTGGACGTGGCGATCCCAGGCTTCCCAAAAAGTACATGGGTTTGTGGGGAGAAATGGTTTCCTGTGCTGGGCTCTCCTCCTTGCCCAGCCCGATCTGTTGTGGGGGTGGGGGCTGCTCAGCTGGCTGGGAAGACAGACGGTTAGAGCAGAAGCTGCGAGGCTGTAATCCTGAGCTCTGTCGTCTCACTCCCCCAGTGCAGACCTGGGCCCCCATGTGGCCAGGATCTGTGGTGGGAAAAGTTCCAGGCAGCATTCTGAGCCCTTAGCTCTGGTTCCCACAGTCCCCTGGGGACAAGGAAGAGACATCCACTGCTCATCAAGTCCTTCCCACCACTATCCACAATCTTGGGCTTGGGTCTTGGAGAAAGGGAAATGGCCGGCAGCTCAGACTCCAGCAGTGCTGGTCCCCATCCCAGCCCTGTCAATTGCCCGTGTGTGACCTTGGGAGAGCCCCTGGGCCCTCTGGGATGGTGCTTTCTGACCTGTAGGTTAGAGATAACCAGATCGGCTGGCCAGGTGTTTTGAAGGAGCAGGGATGCATGAACTGGCAGAGCTATGTGGAACCAAGGATGTGACCATCTTGGGAGAAGCCCCCAGGGCATAATTCAGAGCTAGGTGAGGATCTGTGTCCTGCCCAGAGCGCAAGGCCAGGCTCACTGAGCTGCTGGCCAGAGGTCTCTTCTAGCATTTAACCCTGAGTTAGCACAGGAAAGACTGTTGTAGATGGTCCAATTACACCCCTCCTCCCCGTAATGAGATGAAGCACCTAAGTTCCAACAGGGGGTGGTGACCCTTGCCCAAGATCGTGCTGCAGGTCCGAGGGCCAGCCAGCCTGGAACTCTGGTCCCTCGATTTTTGAAATGGCCAAGATTCTGGCCAAAGAGCTCTCTCTTCCTAGGGCAGGAAGCCCCTCCCAGTGGGCACCAGAAAGGGTCTGGCATTGCTCTGCTGAGGGTCCTGAGTGAATGAACTGATGGGGGAGCCCGCTCCAGCCCCTGTCAGAACCACCTCGTTACCAACGTACACCTAAGGGAATGAGCTCCAAGGCCCCTAACTGCCCATCCCGGGGAGGGGAATTAGCCCCAAGTAGGGTTTCTGGGTGTGGAGTTCGAGTCCTCATCTACCACCGTTGACCTTGACTCCATTAAGCCTTGGTTTCCAAGTACGTAAAACACACCACTTTCAGCTGTCAGATATCACAGGGACGGTCCCCCGGCCACACTCTGCCCGGAAGGGACGCCTGGCTCCTGTCAGGAAGCTGTTTTAAGAGGTATATAAACTTGGAATGGATTAGCTAAAGACAGTTTAAAAGTCTGATTTATCTCAGCCAGTGGAAGGGTCTGCAGCCACATACACACACACACACACACACACACTCAGGCATACCACTTCTCTTAACCACGACCCTTATCTCAGTGGGGAGGGCCACTGTTCATGCTGAGAATGGGCCTCCCCCTTGGTTTTGATATACGATCCAGGCTAAACATAGGGTACAAGTTGCCTTCTAATGGCCCGGCTTTCCAGTAACCGTGTCTGGACTTTCTAGAGCACTGGGAGCAGGTGGGAAACTAGAAAGAGGGGCTTTAGTGATCTTGAGAAAATCTCGAGTTTCTTTTAGCATCACTGAACTTGCTGGCCTATTTCCAGTGTGGAAGATTTACAAATTCCTTATTCTCTTAAGCCTCTTTTTTGTTGTTGTTCTTGAAATCCTCTATTGAGAAGTCCAGGCCTCATTTCCAGAGGCACCGCGGCTAGAGAGGAAATCAGACTTGAGACAGAAGCTGTCACTTTGCAGAAACCCCAGCAGACCTAAGCTAACCCTGATCCTTCAGGGGGAGGCGTGTGAGGTTTCCAGAAAGTAGGAAAAGCATGCGACCCAAAGTTGCCCGGAGTGTCACCTGCAGGGACCAGGCAGCTCCTAATCCAGCAGCCCCCGCCCCCGGTCCCCCTTCTCCTCTGCACACAGATCTGAGGCTGTCGGCAGTGCTGAAGGCACCAGGCCCCGGGAACATGCACCAGGAGGGTGAGGCTGAGCGTCTGTGGCCAAAGACTGCCCTGCACAGGTGCTGGATGGCTGAGCCCCTCTCTTCCTCCCCATTCAGCCCCTTTAAGTGCAACTTCATTAGGATGTCCTTGGTCCCACAGGCCATTGCAATCCCACCCCCATGTCCAGCCCACACGAGTGGGCACAGAGCACTGGGTAAATGGGCCTTACAGATTGCTCCCAGGCAAAGGCGTTTTGAAAGTTAGAAAATTCTCTCCTTCTGAATCAATCATAAGGTTTCCATTTCATCACAGACCTATCCTCTCCAACTGTCTTACACTTGGCTGGTGTCATTCAATGGCAAGATGTCCCTGGCCATGGAAGGCATAGGGCATCCCTCTGTTGCTGAGATGTGGCACCAGGAGCCACCCCAAGAGCAGACACAAGCAGGGAACTGCACACAGACGGGGAGTGCGCCACACTTCCCTGTGCAGATGTTGGACACTGACATACATCCGTCCCTCCAAGCAGGTTCTCACTGAGTCCACCTGAAGACAGATCCATGGCATCCCAGGTTAGAGACTCAGGCCCCAGGAGAGGCTCAACCCCGAGATTTGTTCTCACCACGGGGTAACTGTCAGGAGAGGGGGACCTGGGAAAATGGATTTAAACTGAGATGGGAGAACTGAAGCCCGGGGCACACCTCCTCCATAAAATGAGAGAATGAGGGCCTGTCCCATGGGATTTGCCCCCCTCCTGTGCTTCCCTTTGCACTTCCTCTGCCCTCTTCTTCCCTGAGGGTGAATCTCCATGAACTTCCTCTCCACTCCTCAGCCCTGAACAAGCCCATGGGAGGAGGATGAATGGGAGGAGGATGAAAAGAGATCCCTGTGTCAGGGTAGATGGTGCCTCTCCGAGGCTTTCAGGTCTGGCTGGAGTGTGGAGAGAAGAGGGGAGACTCATTTCCCCAGGCCCTGACCCTGGAGAGAAAGCCGTCTCCTCACAGCTGTGTCCTCGCACCTGGATGGGCCTGGGCCTCCCCTAAAAGAGGAAATGCCGAGGAAATGTCTCCAGGCCCTGTGGGGAGGCCTCCCAACTCTCCTCAGAGCAAACGCACTCATACTGAAGGCTTCTCACTGCCAACCCTCAAGGGTGATTTATTTTTCAGCCTCTACTCTTGTTGTAAAAGCTGATAATAAACATCATGACTTGGGGATTTACCATGAACCTAGCTCAGGGCTACATGTTTTAAATGTAGTGTTTCCTTTCGACCCCTTGAAGTACCATCACGCCCTCCTCATCCCCACTGCACGGAGGAAGGAGCTGAGGGTCAGTGGGGCGAAGACCTGGCTCAAGCTCTCACAACCAGGAAGCCAAGAGGCAAGGTTCCCATTGATGACAGTCTACTCCTGAGACCCACCTCTTAATCAGTACGCCTTCTGCCTACATCGGGCTGAAAGACATGCCTTTCTATGTCTTGACGACCACGGGATGTAGAATGCAAAACACACAAAGCGTACCCAAGGGGCTGACTGAGGGCCTCCCGAACAGCCTAGCGCCCCCACCAGCAGTCAGTCCTGACCTCACAGCCTCAGGCAGGTAGAGTCATGATGAGAGAAGACACAGTTACATGGAAGCGAAAGAAGAATGACTAATCATTTCCTAAATCTAAAGACACTGATATGTTTTTTAATCTATCTATTATATTATCCATTTTTGATTGAATGACATATTCTTTAAATTCTGTAATACTTCACAATTTTCAGAAGTTTCACACACGTGATTTCATGCAATCCCAGAATAATCCTTTTTCTCTTTTTCCCTACACCTAGAATGCCCCTCCTCTCCCCAGAAGGCCCTCTCCCTTCCCCTTCTCCCCATTGCTAACCCTGAGTTTATTCTCTGAATCTGTAAAAACACTGATCTTGGATCCAGCTGTTCATTCTCTGTCTCTGAATGATTGCCATCATGCTTTAACTGACACCATCAAGACCATCTCCAGCCAAACCCACTCCTGGACCTCAGCTGGGTACAGATAAATCTGCATGCATTTCCAAAGGGAATTATCACAGTAGGACCTTCCATTTGTGGATCCAGAGGGGCATGACTGACAACATGCTCTAAGTCATTACCTTGCTGCAGATCTACTAGTGTCTGTGAGGGCCAAGTGCTGAGCTTAATCCCATTGTACAAATGAGGAAACTGAGGCTCAGAATGTTTGGGTAGCTTGGGAGAGGTGACACAGCCAGCAAACAGCAGGTCTGGTATTGGAGCTCCAGTCCACCCACTCACAGGGCAGGGATGCAGTGAAACATCCGTGGGCTCTGGGGACACAGCTCCAAAGAGAAGGGTACCACCCAGCTCACAAGGAAACCAGCTGGACTTGAGACAAAGCCAGTTTAAGCAAGCCCTGCTTGTCAGGCTAACGTGCTCTTTCTCGCAAATCAACTACCTTGGATCAACCTGGAATCATTTAGGAGTTTTATTTTGTTCCAGGTTTTTAACCCATTAACCTCTTCTCTGCAT